GAGACAGGGCTCAGAGAGACAGGCTCAGAGAGACAGGGCTCGGAGAGACAGGGGCTCGGAGAGACAGGGCTCGGAGAGACAGGGCTCAGAGAGACAGGGCTCAGAGAGGCAGGGGCTCAGAGAGACAGGGCTCAGAGAGGCAGGGCTCAGAGAGACAGGGCTCAGAGAGACAAGGGCTCAGAGAGGCAGGGGCTCAGAGAGACAGGGCTCAGAGAGACAGGGGCTCAGAGAGACAGGGCTCAGAGAGACAGGGGCTCAGAGAGACGGCTCAGAGAGACAGGTGCTCAGAGAGGCAGGGCTCAGAGAGACAGGGGCTCAGAGAGAAAGGGCCTCAGAGAGACAGGGGCTCAGAAAAACAGGGCTCAGAGAGACAGGGGCTCAGAGAGACAAGGCTCAGAGAGACAGGGCTCAGAGAGACAGGGCTCAGAGAAACAGGGCTCAGAGAGACAGGGGCTCAGAGAGAAAGGGCCTCAGAGAGACAGGGGCTCAGAAAGACAGGGCTCAGAGAGACAGGGGCTCAGGGAGACAGGGGCTCAGAGAGACAGGGGCTCAGAGAGGCAGGGGCTCAGAGAGGCAGGGCTCAGAGAGAAAGGGCCTCAGAGAGACAGGGACTCAGAAAGACAGGGCTCAGAGAGACAGGGCTTAGAGAGACAGGGCTCAGAGAGAAAGGCTGAGAGACAGGGGCTCAGTGAGACAGGGGTACAGAGAGACGGGTGCAGAGAGACAAAAGTCCAGAGAGACAGGGCTCAGACAGACAGGGTCCCAGAGATGGGCTCAGAGACAGGGGTTTGTGTTTGCCACACCCAGGAGCTTGTTGGTATTGTGGGAGGTACCGGGAATGAGTGCAAGGTGGAGCTTCTGCCAGGACATGGGGGAACGTCTGCAGGACGCATGCAGTTGGCCTTGGGCTGGGTGGAGAGTCCAGGCACTGCCCACTGGCTGTAGAAGATGGACACTGCATGTGATGGGCTGAGGCAGTGCAGGAAGGGAGGGCAGAGGGTTGAAACCTGGGGTCAGCGGACCTGGGGACCCTCAGGGTAGCATCTGCAGATTCCAAATCAGGGTTCCCACCAACCAAAGGAAGCTCTGTTAGCAGTGACGTCCTGGATCGCTGTCAGCCAGGCCCGGCCAGGTCCTGGGGTGCAGGCCCCTGAGTGTCCCTGCTCTGTTCCTGAGCCCCTGGCAACTGGGGCGGCTTCCAGCGTTGGAAGGAGGCCAGGAACAAGTGCCGTGGGACAGAACGGTACACTGAGCCACTCGGACCTTTTAATGCGAGAAGACCAAGGCATGGCGCCTGCCCCACCCCCACAGGAACGGGGTGGCAGGCATGTGCTTTTCGTGCATGAGGTCGGGTGGCACCTGCCCCACACCTATCCTGCTGGCCCACCTGTGCAGGGGGTACACTGGTGCCTCTATTACATTCAACTGCTGCTCTACATGGGGGGCCCGTGGGCTGGGAGCGCTGGCTGGCACGCTGGCCCGGCCCGTCTCCCAGAGAAGCTGGGAGGCCTGGGTGACCTGGAGGCGCGGGCTGCGCTTAGGTGTGTGTCTTTCCTGGCCATGGCCTCACAGCTGGTCCTCGTCCACCCAGACGGTCTTGCGCTGCTCCTCGCCGATCTTGTCCTTGATGACCCGCAGCAGGTCCTCGACGCTGCCCCAGGTGTCCGGCTCCACAGTGGCGTACAGGCAGGGCAGCGCCTCCAGCTCCTTCTCCTTCAGCCGGCACAGGTGCAGGAAGGCCTCCTCTGATTCAGGCCGGGGCAGCAGCTTCCTGGTGGGGGGGTGGGCAGGCAGATATGTGGGGGGCCCTCGGAGGGGTGCCGGGTGCTGCGCCCCCCGCGGGTCCGGGTCCTCCCCTGCTTCTCCTCAAGCCCTGCCACACCGAGCATGGATGGGGCCTTATCTAGGGGAGCAGGTGGGTCCTGCTGGCCTCACCCCTCCTGAGTGGGTTGAGGAGCCAAGAGCCATGTGGAGACTCGAAGCTTCAACAATTTACCAGGTGTGCCAGTTATGCCCTCTGCCAGCACCCTCTCTGTCCCTGCCTCTGCTCCCTGGGCCCCCAGGACCCTCTTTGTCCCTGTTTCTGTTTCCTGGGACCCCAGCACTTTCTCTGTCCCCCCCCCACCCTCTCTGTTCATGTCTTTGTTTCCTGAGCCCCCAACCCCCTCTCTGACCATTTCTCTGCTCCCTGAGCCCCCAGCATCCTCTCTGTCCATGTCTCTGCTCCCTGGGCCCCCAGCACTATCTCTATGTCTCTGCTCCCTGGGCCCCCAGCACCATCTCTGTCAATGTCTCTG